AAGGGTGGGAGAGGTGGAGAGTTGGGGAGAGGAGCTGCTGTAAGTAGGAGGCCGAGAGGGGGCGATGGACAGGAAGCGGGATGGGAAAGACAGGGCGGGGAGGTGGGCGGAGGAAGGCTGGAACTGGAACTAGCCGCGCAGGGAGATGAAGTGGGAAGACGGGCAGGGTACGAGGAGGAACGCCCCTCGGAAAGGAGCCTCCCACCAGAGTCCTGGAATCGCAGGAAGAGTTGGCTTTGGGCTTGGAGCTGGAGTTCTCCGTGGGACTTGCTTGCCCGGCCTAGCTGCCTCTGGCCAGAGCTCGGCGTTCACCTGGGCATTACCTTGGGGAGTTTGTCCGTGGGTTCCCGGCGGGCAGGATAGGGACAGTGAGTGAGCCCCTGCACAAACAGGAGGAGCCCGAGTGGTTGTGGCGCCCTGAAGGATGGGTCCCTGAGGGCTGACCAGCCCAGATGTGACCCGCTGGGAGAAGAGGGCCCTGCAGGCAGGAAGCAGAGGAAGCAGCGGGTGTGGGTAGACAGAAGTGGTTAGTGGCTGCTACACAGAGAGAGGTGTGGTAGCACGTGAGAAGCGTCCTTGACTGGCGATGACTCCCCAACCTAGGGCCGCCTCCTCCATGGGAGAGAACAAGGCAATGACCATCGGAATTCCCCAAGGGGTAGTACAACCATAACTCAAAAAAGTTCTGTGGGGCTTCTGGTGCCCAGGGGATGCAGGCTGGTGCTGGTAGGTCTCCAGAGCCTACCCATTTTATGGAGAGGTTGATGAGCAAGCAGAGGGGGCACAGGATGGTAGGAGCTGCCCAGCAGGGGGGAAGCCTCGCAGAGATCCCCCTGGGGGGACGTGATTGTGTATCCTCTCCTGATGAACTCACTTATGCCTGCTCAGGCAGGCCACAAGCAACAGAGTACAATGTCCTGAGGCCCCATGTCACAGCTCTGCCTGCTCTTAGAGCTCATCAATTGTCAAGGAAAGGGAACCCCAGCATTGCTCCCAAGGGGTAGCAGCAGTCTTCTCATCTCAGGAGGACAACAGAGAAACAGCCTTTAGTTCCCAGTTCCTTGTTAATAAAGCCCTTCCTTGTCCACTGTGCCAGGCACATGCCTGCTCTCACAGACAGGCTGTGCTGACAGGGATGTTAGTTGCTACAGTAGAGCAAGAGGGCCAAAGGATCCTCACTGCCAGACAGTCACGTTCCTGAATGACCTGCCCCCTGAGCGTAGGATGTACCTGGTAGTTTGCTTCTAACCAACATAACTGGCAAAGGTGACAGGTCGTCATGCCGTGATTAAGGGCACAAAAGTATGATCGCAGTTGTGCTGGCATTACTTTCTGTTGCCTTCCCCATTCGTGCTTTCAGGTGAGAGGTGCTTGGTACTTGACTGCACTGTCATGAAAGGGTGGAGAGCGCAGAACCTAGTCGAATCCAGATTCCTGACCCACAGAAACTGTGAGATTATAAAATGTGTGCTGCTAAAGCCATTATATGTGGGGAATTTGTAATGTAGCAACAAGTAAGTATATGAGTTTGCTTGGGCAGCTTAAGAAAATACCACTGGGTGGTTTAAACAACAGAAGTGGTTAGGTATAGGTAGGGTTGGTTTCTTCTGAGGCTGTGGATGGCCATCTCCTTAAGACTTCACATCATCTTCCCTTTACATACGTCTGTGTCCTCATCTCCTCTTCTTATAAGGACGCCAGTCATATTGTATTAATGCTCATCCTAATAGTCTCATTTTAGCTCAAATCTTTAAGGGCCGTTTCCAAATATGGCTTCAACCTAGGAATTTGGGGGGACAATTCATCCATAACAAATTGTACAGCTGCATTCTAACAGCCACTCTTGACCTTCTTCTTTACTAATAAGACCTCAGTTTTTATGTGGACAGTTTGTCTTTTATCTAAGATACAATCATTCCCATCGTCCTTTTAGCTAGCCATGGCCATGTGACTTATTAATTCACATGGGACAAAGGGATGCAAGCAGAAGTAATGAGTATTACTTCCCACTTCGTAGAAAGGGGTACACCCATCTTTCTGCTGTCTAGAATGGAGATGTGTTACTTGAGCAGCCATTTGTGGTCATGATGTGGCTATCAAGCCACATCCTGGAGCTGGAAAGAACTGTCATTCCAGACTGGCCTACCCATCTCTTGACTTCTTTCCTCTGTAAGAAAGAAATACGTTGTCTAAACCACTCTGAATTATTCTTTATATACTCCTAAACCAAATTCTAGCCAGTCCAGGGAGGTTATGGGTCATCGAGACCTTATACGATCCATAGCAGATCATGGATGCTTCTGCCTTGGGACCAGCAGTTAGCATAATAGCTATGTTGCTGGACTCCCATGTAGTCGACCGTGGTTCGAGTCCCAGACCAGGCGGCTTAAACTCACGCCGGGCACGTGTGCGTGCATGCCCAAGATCCCGGAGAGGAGAATGGAGGAGAAGGGATTGCAGCGTGGCCATCCTCCCGGGGGGTG